AAGACAGAGTCTGAAAATGGATTATTCTCATTTTTCCTGTAATGTAATTTGCAGATGTGCCGTGTTTAAGACAGCAGAAAAGGTGTATGGACTAGGGATTGTTCTTTTTGTGGCTTGCACTATCTAGACTGCAATGAGTATTTTCTTTCTACTGGTTGTACCTACCACTTTAAAAATGAAAAGTTAATCAGCACTGCTACTCACCAAGAGTTTCCACACCTGATCAAAGGTGTTAAGAGTAGTTTTTTTTCTCTTATTAAATGTTTAATTTTAATTTTAGGAGAGAAGAAAAACCTACTAGAGCTGTTTAAATAACCTGATTCTTGTCATGTAAACAAATGGGTGAACCGTTTATGCTCTCTCTGAAGTGCTGAGTGGTAACTAGTTAACTACTTAAATTCTTTTGTTCTCACCAGCTGCATCAGCGCAGCTATTTATTCCTGTTCATGTCTGCGCCAGGGATACACACTGCAGTTGCATCCTGCTGCCTGATCTGCATTGCTGTATCTTTGGAGAAAATATCCAGCATATATCATGCAGGATGCAGAGAGACTGAACAATTATAAGACTTGGATATCCATCCAGAGCATCTTTCCATACCTCTGCAAGGATATGGGAAAAAAACAGAAAATCTCATGCTTCCAGGTATAAAAACAGGGATTAAAAAAAATAAAAATTAAAAAAAAAAATCCTTTGGGGGGTAGATTATCCTACACCTGCACAGGGTGGTGTTTCTCAGGAAAAATCTAGGTGAGTTTAGGTTTTCCCACAGCAACAACTGGGAGTGGCCATCGCTGGAGACAGGACTGCAGAATCACCCTGCGCCCGCTGCAGAGCATCAGTGGTCCTACAGGTCTGTGCCCGTGCAGAGACAGGGGATCGTTGCTCAGCAAAGCTCCAGACGCGTAACACTCGCGCTGACTGCCCAGAAAAGAATCATGTTACATGCTAATTCCATTACAGTGATTTATATGCCCCGGCACCTAAACGTTGTCACAGCTTGGGGAAAGGACTTTTTTTTTTCTTTTTCATAATAAAACCAGCACATTCTTCCCGATTACTGGTGAAGCCACTGCTTCTAATAAGTACCAATGTAGGCATTTCTTCTGCAGCTCTCCAGGGTGAAGCTTTGGTTTTTTCAAGTTATCTGCATTATGAGCGAGGAAGAGGACCTAGACAGACCACAAGATGCAATACTCAGCAGTGCTGAGTTTTTACATCCAAGGAGTGAAGTACCTGAAGTACTCCTGACCTCTGAACGCTGCCTTCTGGCAGGTATCTGCCAAGGCTGCACAGGTATCGGTGATGGAGCTAGGGAATAAAAGTAAGGTCATCAGATTTCTGATCCATTTCTGTAGGGCTCTGCCATGGCAAGATACTGTACTCGTATGTATCGTCTTCCAGAGGATGCCAGAGTATAGCTTGGGTCTCACAAATTTTCATCAAGCAGGTAAGAGAAATAAAGTACAGAGTGCAGTCATGTTTGAAAATAAAATACGACTGCTTTAACCCTCCACTGCAGTACTACAGAACAGGAAAGAAACAACAATATAGTCAAGCAAAATCACAGCAGGAATTGTAGTTAAGTGGTTTAAAAAAAGAACTGAAGTATTTATTATTACTAGTGCATAAGAGCTCTTACAGAAACCATTCTTCACCATTTTCTCGCTCTTATCACTTTGGAAGGGTGGGATTAAATTTGTGTTATAAAAATTGCACCAAAAATGACTGGATTATATTAGAGTGATGTACTGTATTGTGTTCTCTGCTAGTCCTAAATTTACTAAAAGCCTCTTTAAGCTGTCAGACTTCTGAAGCAGCTTGAAAATAGTTATAAAAGAATCGTGATTTAGGGAAGAAAAAAAAGAATTGCTGTATAAAGAAGTTTTTCTCATGAGTGTTTTTGTGAGAGGGGCAGCCTTATTGACTGGAATTCCTGTGCTAAAAAAGTAATCTACAAAATATGCCAGGAATTGAGGCAATGATAAAAGTAGTGTAAAAAAAGTCACAAGGCACTGAAAGCCTGGAAATTCTGTTTTTGAAAGGAAGCGTGGTGGAAGCTGGAGGAAGCTTTACAGGAAAGAGAGGTTGCTATCCTGATGCTCTGTCCTGCCTGGAAGAAGAAATTATCTCTAAGCAAACGCCCAGAGACCATTACACAAAGGAACAAACAAACGAAAAAATCCTAGCAATAAAACCCTGAACTACTTTTCACAGAGGCATGGGAATTAAAGCGGGGAAAGCTTAATTTCCATAGGCAGAGCTGCAGAGCACGGCGTTACACTTCTTTGCTTCCATATTAGTTCATTAGAGAGGTCTGTGACATCTGGCCTGCGTGCCCTGACCCTGCTGGTGATGAATGGGTTTAATCTCTGGCGTGTGACACCAGCGTCAGTGATTCCTGCAGGTTAATTGATTTCTTTTGGCAAAGCACATTTCCAAGTCCTGTTGTCTGAGCAGCATGACTGACTGCAGAGGGAAAACAAGGCATCTTGAAAAAGAGATTCTCCTGTACCCAGCAAGTAATAGGTAGGATACAAGGGAGGACTGGCCAGGCAGAAAGCGATCCTTGCCAAAGGTGCGCAATGCCAAGTGCAGATGGCCCGTTGGATAGGCGGGAGCTGGACGTCGGATTTGGAGTCAGCGTGGAGCTTTAAGCTGCTAATAGCAAAATGCTCCGTTGTCTTTTCTCTCTCAGGCAAGCATGCAGCTAATAGCAAACAAATCCTCCCCCATAAATTCTTCCAAGGAGACCACTGAACCTGTCGGCAAGGGCAGACGGGACCCAATCGACAGCACAGACACCACTGCACATGGCAGGGAGAGAAGCCTTACTCCGCAGTTGCCAACATTATTAAAGATACTGTCTTACTGTTCAGTAATGTGTCAAACTTGAATTAAGTTGCACTCTCCAGGAATCTGACTGTAGGATGCCAGGGTATTTTTACCACGGGAGTGGGCATATCCCAGAAACAGTGCACTAGGAGCCATTTGAGAGAAATTATTTTGTTAACCATTATTTATGACAACTGTTCTCCCTCGGTATCTGAGCCAGTTTGTAACGTGAAAGATCCATGGCTGAATAATATAAAATTTATAAACCAATGTGAGTCAGACAGACCAGGAAAGGGAAGGGTGCTGAAAGAGAGAGAGCAACAAAGCTGCATCTGAAACCTGAATATGTTTCTTCAAAAAGTGGACCAGTGACTGGTTGGGAAGCTGGTATGCTTTGGACGCAAACAGAGTACAACCGAATCTGCTCAGGCTAGACAGCAACAGACAGAAATAAACAGTTCTACGCAGGAGAAAGCAGAGCTGTGGGATGTGATCTCCCTCCCACAGTAACACTACTGCAAAGCTGGTGTTTTGGTGCACTGTAGAACACACCAGCGCTGGCACCCAAGCAGAGTCAACCAGTTAGTGACCAGCCTGTGACCTGCAGTACCTCCTCAGAAAGCCCTCTTTCCTTGCGAACTCGACTGGAGCTGTGATACCGGCTGGATACCACAGTGCGTTGCCCAGTGTAAAGGTCCAGGTGGGGTCAGACATGCTGATAAAGATGGGAGTGACCCGGAATTCATCAGTACCTGAGTACTGAAATCCTCCCTCACCACCTGAGATGCTGTCATGCCATGCTGGCAGCACACATGGTGCAAAGGGACGCATATCTCCACCGTAATTGTAAGTAAGTGGAACGAGAGTTCTCCCCTCTGAATACAGTGAAGACAAACACTGAAGTTTGCCTAGAAATAGGTGGGGGCCCTGAGTGAAGACTTAACGCTATGGCTACACGAGGGGGAAAGACTTAACGCTATGGCTACACGAGGGGGATGTTGTCTGCTGCACTGTATCACTACCCTGTCACCAAACAGAACTTTTGGCTCCTTGCAGCAAAAAAAACCACCCTGAGCACCCAGAAACTTATGTTCATATTGCCATGGCCCCAGGTGATCACTACTTAGACTTGCATGTACAGCTTATGTGCACAATGACAGAAATAGGATTGGAAGGCAGCCAGAGAGCAGTTCCCATCTTCCTGCCTCAAGAGCGAGCCAGGGAGGCCTTGTGCCTCTGCACAAGAGGCCTTCTGCAGGAGGCCTGCAGAAACACAGGACAGCTTTCATGTCTTCTCCAAATAATCTGCTGTAGCGTTTACCTCTTTTTTTTTTCCTCAGGAAGTTCTTCCTAACATCTAATCTCCAATTCACTTCTTGCAATTTAAAGCCCTTATATGCAAATAACAAACCAGGCACACATCAGTCATGTCACATCTCCAAAACCACACTGAAGTTCAACTGTGCAAGACTTGACCTCCTTACAAGATACATGATGAGGTCTTGTTTTTTCCACAACGTTTAAACATCTCATTATAGGGGGAATGTATATATCTAAAGGCACCAGGAGGCAGAAAACCCTTCCTTTCTCTGGTATTTGCACGTGTTAGTAAAAGGAAGGTGGAACTGCTCTTACAGGGCCACAGCACCATCTGTGGCACTGCTTCCAAACCTCTTGCATCCATCTGATATGACAGTGTGAGCCAGAAAGTATCACCCAAACTGTTCACGCACTTATGTCAATCTCCAAACACCTTATTTTCCTTCTAGTTGTACTATGTCTAGTGACAGTGATATGCCAGGGCCCCTCTCCTTAAGGTATAGCAAGGTATACTCTGCTCTCTTTGTCTGCAGAATTACGACAGGCTGTTAACGTCTGCATTGTATGTCTGCACGTCTCCCATTCTGCCAGTGGGAGAAAGGCAAAGGCAACTTATAGTCAACACCAGATTAGTCACCTACCCACACATTCAGCATGACATTATACATAGATACTCTTATTTTTCGACAATTATGAGAAAGAGACTAACCCCAGAAGTTTGTATGTCATGTGGAAGCGTCTTCTGAATTACTGTAGTTGCCAACCGTGAGGTGGTCCGAATCGGTTTCTTTACTGAAAAACAGTAGCTTTTTTTTTACAAGCTGCAATAAGGGACTGGGAAAGACTGTCTTTATTACAGCGACCCTTGAGCACATATGTCCCCACACACAGCTTGCTTCCTTCTTGCCTGACGTTCCTGTGTATTGGAGGTAGCGAGCAGGGCACGGAGCGCTGAGATAGGACTGTGGGCTCAACGTTGACCACCAAGCTCTGTAAAGTATCTCTTGCTCTTCACCTAGCAGTACACCGGTTCCAGCACACAGCAACCCCTCACCACGGATGGCCTGGGCTGTGGCATGCTCACGCAAGGGTAAAAGGGACCTGTGATCTCAAATACTGTGCTCCCCTCCAGGCCGTATGGCCAACAACTGAGATCCACCAGAGCAGAAGCATGTAAAGGATGCCCAGCCAGCATGACCCAAGCCCCTGTGCTTCGTGCAGCCTCATGCGCTCTGCTGAGCTGAGGTTCTTAACACACAACCCGACATCCTTTACCTGAAGGACCAAGGCCAGGGAAAGAGTACAAGCGTAACGTTCAAGAGAGAAAACAGGCTTCGGTACCTCCCCATTTGCAATTGCCAGGTTACTCACTGTTCAGCTTTGGCTCGGTCACTTAGGAAGAAGAGGGCTGTGGCCAGGAAAAACATCCCTCCTAGGACAACGACAAACGGGCAGAGCATGAGTGCATACCCCAAGCTGAGGAACTCCCAGACTGGGGACTCCTTTGTGCTTTGTCGTATCAGGTCTGAGATCTAGGAGAGAAGGGCAAAAAAATTAGTCACTTAGATGAAAGAGAGACACGATAATGGTGAGGGAACACACGATTCCCTAAACAACCACCCACTGAACACGTGCATGAGGTTTAAAATGGAACAGTGTGTTCGGTAAAGGCTGAATGTCCCTTGCATGCTTCAGCCTTCCACACGCCACTCTGGAGCCTGGGCAACTTATGCTGTGAGCAGCCTGGCAGGGGTTCTCCTCTACCTCTCAGGCTCTCCTGGCCTGATCTATTACTCCTCCCACAGCCCTCTCCATCTTCTCCCTGGCCGCTTCAGTGACTGAATCCATGGGTGCCTAACCTCGCTGTACTGACCAAGCCTCCTGGTGTGCTGACAGGGCCACGCCGGCATTGCTTGGTGGGCGAGGGAGTGACCAGTATTCTGCAATTTCTATCAAGTCCTGCTTACTCCTACACCTTACCTACCTTTGAGCAAAAGAAAGTATTAAATTCCATTTCTGTGTATTGAGTGGGAAGGGAGAAATGTCTTTCAAAGAACAAAAAAAACAGAGATCCCATCTGATTTTCAGAAACAGAACTGGAATGTGGGGTTTTTTATCGTCGTCTCTGAGGCACAGACCTCATTCCCTCTTCTAACCTCCTAAGCTTGCTGCACTTTGAAGTGTAATTGTGTGCAAGATGTGACTCTGCCCCGCAGGCCCAGACAAGGTCTGTTGCATAAGGGCTGCACTCACGCCAAAGAACCACGCACCACCAAGTTTATGGGCTAAGGCAACCTGCATCTTCCCACAGTCAAAAAGCGTAATTATATGAAAGAGGACACAAGTTTGTGCACACATGAAGAAGCAGTGACATACAATGGCAGTATTTAGTTCATTATGAAAAGCTTTTGATAAAACTCAGTAATATTTAATGACTGTCTGTAGCTAAAACAATCACATTTTAGTATTTACTGCCCAGCAAACAACTTTACTCTCTATAAATCCAACAGAGTGGTAGCAGCAGTGGGGATGAGTCTCAAGGCATTGGGTATTTAAAGATAAAAAGATAAAACAGCTCTGTTTTTATCTGTAACCTTTTGTTGAGGCAGAAATACTAGTTTATACCAAAAGACTGCAGGGAATTTGCAGCATAAAATCCTACTGCTGCACACGCATGCAGATCAGTTCCAGAAATAGTCAAAGCTTGTGCAGCAACTTCTAAACTGCTACACTACTGCTAATGTAAAAGGTGGCGTCAGACACAAACTACAAGCAAAATCCAACATTCAAGGCTTAAATCTAAAGACACTTGAAAATCAAGTGAAGAAATGTCACATGCAGGAGAAATCACCAACCCACAGCCCTGCAGCCAAGTGTAGCGACCTGGAAGGTAAATGTGTGTGAAGAGATGCCTCAGCAGAGGCCAAGCACAACAGAAGGTGACAGAAAGATGACGCTCATGGGGACTCCAACGAACAGGTCGCAGGGTGTGCTTTAGCAGGGAGACTCTGGAGCGCTGGTGGTCTCAGTGCCTTAATATCCATCTTACAGCTCAGCCTGGCTCCTGCTACAGTGAAGGACAAGAGGAGCGGCCAGCCTGATGGTGGAGGTGAAGCCATTCTGCACACGAAAGAGCAGAGGACTGTCTTTCAGGATGGAGCATTCTCAAGTAGAGAGGAGTGAACAAACACTGGAAGAGCGTATCTACAGAAAGAACTGAAGGCTTTTAGCCAGACTCCTCCGTTTCCTTCCTTGCCCTAGAAAGGAGGAGGAGAAAATTCCTGTGCTTGGGATATAGCTAAGGCAGCGCTCCTGTCCTCTCAAAGAGAACTTTATTCACAGCGTGTAACACACACAAGGAAAAACAGGGTTGTTATGAACAAGTCTAGTGAGAACTGATGGTTAAAAAAGTCCTTAGACTGAAGGCAAACAACAGTGGCTATTAGTCTGAGAGACTTAAAAAATAGCAACAAGACTTGAACGTGTAAAGAACGCACTCCCAGGAAATTAGCAGAACACGCACTGCAACCCAGAGGGCAGGGACATCAGTTGGTAATTTATTCCCTCTTGTATCCAGACACCTTAATTCCCAACATTTCCCTTACTCTTCATTATGAACCAAAATTTGGCATCGAATCAGCCCCTCTGTGTGCAATAGCCAGAATTGAGGCTATTCTAAAATAGAAATTTAGAAATTCTAAACCACTTTTCATTTTTGGGAATGGATACAATTATCCTCTAAAAGGACCAGACAATAAATCACTAGACAAATTGATATGATAAATCAGCAGTAGAGGATGAAAAGCCAGGCATGTGCTCCCAATTGCTTTCTCTTATGGATGACATGACATCCTAAGCTAAAACTAGCTTTGAAAATGCAAAGTCTCCAACAAATAAAACTCCCAATGCAGCCTGCCCCATACCTTCCCTTCTAAGGTATCACGTTGATCTTTTATACCAACAAATCTTGTTAATATTGAATCTGCTACCTTTTTCATTTTTAGCCCAACATATTGTTTAAGTGCATATTTTAGAAAAAGCAGTGTTTCCTCCCATCCAAGGTGTAATTCTTCCCACCAAGCCAGCTGGGCTTTCTTATCTAGGTTTCATACAACCCCCTCACCCATGTCTACATCTCTTAACTCTAGAACTTTATCAGGGCCCCACATACATGTTTTTGCTGTTAACGTACAGTCACTATTCCCTGTTGTTTTCTCCCACTCAGTTACAAGCCACCTGCTAAGACTGGAACTTTGGCATCTCCTCTCAAGAGGACACAGGACATAATTACAGACTTGGGCTCCAAGAACGACATACTGTCTGCCAAATGGTCTGCTCTGTATTGCCAATTTTTGGCTTTCCAGACTCCTTGCAATGATAGCATCCCGAGTCGTCTAACCGTGATTTGGCAAGACCCAATCTAGCATCATATTCGGTGTCTTCTCTCTATCATGAGTAACAAAAAGTGGGGGTTGCAAGCACGGTCAGTGGCAGTTTTTCAGCATGGAGTCACGTGTGGGATCCCTTTCTTTGTTCTGCCAATTGGTAGGTGGCAAAAAACTTCCAAACATTTACCCAAAACTTGGGGGTGGAAAATCAAGACGGAAGTCCTGTGGCTGCTTTGCAGTCCAATCAAAAGTCTTTGATAACATCCTAACTACGAAAGTTCACATCTTCTTTTCCCTCACTGCGTAACATAGATCTCAGACCAAGAGGAATGACTTTGCTAAATAAACTTCAGCTCATGGCATTTTTACAACAGAATACAAATGGCATGTAGTCAGCCGGTGGCAGCCAACTGGATGGAGTCCAGCTAGAGAAAATGCCCACCTTCCGGAGAACGAACAGTACAGCTGCAGCCGGCATGATCCAAACCCCCCAAATCGCTGACTGCTTCTCAATCTGAGTGCAGAAGACAATGAAGGAAAAAAGGGAAACCTCCCTACCTTTCTTGGGAAGCACGTGCTGTGTTTTTTGGAACACTGGACAGGCTATTGATGTAATAAGAGCTCAGGTGGGCTGAAGCCCTAGAAAGACGGCTTGCTTCTGTGTTACTGTCCCTCCTGAACAGCATGAGCGGTTAAATTAAACTGATTTACTAATTAGACAATGTAATGGTAACAACTTCTTTGAAATCATCATTTCATCTACTCTGTCTCATCGCCGAGTCGAGCATCTCAATTCCTCTGCGATCACTTGATTTTTCTAAATTTCTGACGTTGCCTCTTGGGCACAAATCTTGCTGCATAAAACGATATTTCCACTGCAGTACCTGGCACAAATACCTGATTTTCATGATTAGCACTTTGATACAAGCCAGGTTCTCCGTCTCCTCTCTTCAGTACAGTTCCTTAACACAGTATTCCCTGTAATCCTACACTGTCACCGCAATGGTTTGGGGTTCACCTACTCTGAATTCAGAGATGCATGTGAAAGGTTTCTTTGATTTTTTTTTTTTTTTTAAATCTAATATGAATGCAAATGAAGACTAGAAACCAAAAATAAGGGATTTTGTAAAGTAAAAGTAAATAATTTGCTGGGCCTGTGGGGGAGGCACAAGCATTTATACAATGCTAAATGGCATGAGAAACACATTATAAAAAGAGGAGGTAAACCTGACTATTTTATGATATTCATTCAGAAAACTGCAGAAAGGTAAAAGCAATTATAGCCTAACAGTTATTTCAATTTTTAACCTTGGCATGTTTGTATGTTGGAGGAAAAAAAAGCGAAACATCCTGCTAATCTTAATTGTGTCCTTTTGAGATCGCAGACAAATTTAATACTTGGCTGGTGACAATATCAATATCCTGCATTAGTGCGTGGTACCCGCGTCTGCCTCAGCAACACCCGTAGCGAGGATTCCTGCACTGCCTCCCCTGTGGCAGGCTCATCTGTTTATGCCCTTGTACCCCCTCCCAGGATTACCAGGCTGCATTAAATAAGTGATGCTTCCTTCAGAAGGCTGCAGTAAATTAAAAGACTCAATCAAGGGTTCTGCTTGCAACGCTAGCAAATGGACTTTGTACGTCTCTCGACGTTAGAGCAACATTTGTCTCCAGACAACATTTGCCCTGGAGAGGGTTGAAAGTCTATTTTCTTCATGTCATTAACTGCCTTTCTCTCCAGGTCTGGTCTGCCCAGGGATTTTCTAAGATAACGCTGGACTTTCTCCTCTCCCAGCAGGAGATGCCTTGTACCATGGGGAACACGGAATCGAGGAACATGGCTCACGTGACAGGGCAGAGGTTCTTAAATGTGTAGGGATGGGGGGTGCCCACTTACATGTAGAAATAAGGCCTGTGGCAGAGGACCGCAGTTTGGGAGCACACCCTTTAGCAGCACCCCTGTCCCCCATCTCTCCTTGCAGCAGAGCCCCTTCCCTGGCGGTACATCCCAGGAGAAGGAAGTCATTCCCCCACGTTGCAGAAATTGGACACCTCGTTCTGAAAGGTGCTCAGCACCATGAAAACTCTCTGTCCGTACTGGGAGCGTACGGGGTCCTTGGCAGCTCAGAGAAAGAAGCCACTTA